CGGATTCTAGCGTTGTAAGTCCGCAGACATACCGCTGTGACACTGGGGGGGCTTACAGTTTGTTTTTGAATTTCGCGCAAAGCTACACGAGGGCTATCTGCGCTATCCGTCCCTAATTTTGCAGTGTAAGACTAGAGGGAAGGCAGCTAGTCATAACCACCCACCGCCAACTCTTGGGCTACTCTTTTTACCAACGAATAGTGGGATTGACCGTCACATTATAAGCCCCCACGGCTGAAAGGGCGAGCATGTTTGGTGGGACGAGGATTCGAACCCGCGACCCGGAGATTGCGAGTCGAGCACCCTAACCAGTTTTTCGACAATCTTTGCAGTAAACATGCAGTCTGCCAATAAGCAACTACTTTTGTATTACGTCAGAAATTCAAAACAGTGGGCAATATAATTAAGAAAAATGCAAAGTTATTGACTAACTTCTCGTGTATAAAAAAACCTTCTCATAAAGACCACACAGTTTAATGGCTGAAAACTGCTAGTGCTTGTATTACTTAGTTTTCGAATGCGTCTTTCTTGTTGTTAGTATTTAATTTGTTCAATGGGAAGCTATAAAATTTATATTTCATTGCGTGTTTTATTGTGTACGGACTTAAATCCTCACTTCTTCATCAGCGCATTAAGAGGGTTTTAAATTTTGTTTTATACTTATAGGCTTATTATATTAATTGATTATTATGCTTTATTCGAAAAAACAACATTATTTGGCTTTGGAAAATGCCCCTTTGATGTAAGAAGCAAAATGCAAAATACTTTGATGGATTTTCTATATAACTTAGTAAATTCTTATGATATGGTGAGTTTGAGTTTTACTCAGAATTCAAATGTTCTATACTTATTCTTTGACACTGGTCCTATCAGCAATATAAAATGGGGAACTATAAAACATTAATTGTCTTTTAAAAATGTGTACACTGAATTGGTAAGAAACCGAACGTTCCATAGAGACAAAAGCAAATAATTCATTTAATATGTTTTCTTGTTATACTAGCAGATTTAGATAATTCCAGACTCGATCCTTAGAGAAATTTACTCGTTTAAGGGCGTTTAAAAGCATTCAAAGTGTTAGGAAGAATGAAATAAAGAAATTAACCGATTTTATTTAGTACGTTAACGTTTAGTAATAAAAAATACAACTAATATTTTTCATTGTATTATATTTATGTAAGATTCAATATCATCATATGCCAATAACAAAAATACTATTATTAGTTGACTTTTGTGAATAAGTCTCAAGAATAATACATCCATATTTACTAATAAAACACTAGAATATCTCGTTTAATATACTTTTAGTTTCTTACCTTGGCATGAATCATTTTAGAAATTAAAATTGAGCCTAAAATATAAAAAAGAAACAAATAGGTTTATTATTTCAATAACCGGTAGATGTCGCCACATTACTGGAAAAATCTCTCCAAATATATTTGTTCTATGTTCGAGGTTTTTCAACAGATTTAATGTTTTTTTATTAATATGCTAAAATAAACTTATGTGAATCTAAGAAGGACTGTATATTTGGAACTTTGGCAAAAAATATTTAGTTGATATACGTATGAATGAAAAATATCTTAAAATATATTGTGAAAATTACGTTGTGTTATCTAAAATTGCTAATCATACATACAGCCATGTCTTTAAATTTGCTAATTTATGTCTCTACATATGTCATTGAATACGTTAATTACATTAGTTCACAATTTAAATGAATAATCTCCCATTCCTTGTCCTCGCTTAGTATATGTTTATTAGTAATTTTGTACCAGCGTTCTTACATTCCTAAAGGAACATACCAACCCTAGAAGTAATCAGTGTGTAATATTTTAATATGCGGTTTTTTGAATGCCACGTATTGTGTTCTGCTGGGAATTCAACATCATTAGTCAGACAACACGAGACACAGCCCTCATATTAAGAAGACTGCTCATAATCCACGAATTATTACATTCGATAAACACGTTTTTAATCGATTATTTTCCTGCACTTGTAGCCTTAGTTATTGTAATAAGGTATAGGGAAAATAATACATTAAATATTGCGTTTTTTCACCGCATAGTAATGGGTAATTTACCCACGCTTTTACGTTTTGAAAGAAATAAAAACAAACCATAGAAAGTTTTTGTTGTTTATTTCGAAATGAGATCTGTCATTATTCGAGGCGCAATTCACGTCTACTTATTTAAATAAAGAAATCCAGGAAATATAATTAGACAGTGAAGTATATACTAAATAATAAATGCTTGGATAATTTGTAAGAGACTTTTATGAGTATTCGTAAAGGAACTTAAAGAGGACTGGGGTCTATCCTGTGCTTTTACAAAATGGTAGGTTTTGATTAAAAAGGTTTATGTTTAAGAGTCAGAGCTTTCAGAGTATAGAAAAAAGAACAAATTACAACAGCATACTCCCAGATGGAGAGAGCAATCCAATAATCATTTGCATCGATCTACGTAGAAGGAGTGCTAGGCAGCAGGGGTAGAACCTAATTCAGATAGTATAAAAAACGATTTTTTCCGCTAAAGAATCTTGAAAGGAAAGAAAGAAATAAAAACCGTTTTGTTCTTGACAAATTTTGTGATTAGAAAAGGAAAAATCAATTCACAGAAAATAACTTGATTCTGAGTTGAGTTTTTGACGTTAAATCAATCTCACTCTCAAGCAAGGAAGAGCGGGAATAAAAGGGCTTAAAAGTTCTAATATTTGCCTGTTTAACTAAGAAATAAGACCTTTAAATATTGTTTGTATAGCAATAACTTGTGAATGGCGAAAATGCAAAGTTATAACTCAACTCATCGTAAGTATTGTTACCG